ATATATATATATATATATATATATATATATATATATATATATATATGTGTGTGTATGTGTGTATGTATGTGTACATATATACACACACATTATATATAAAGTAACATATAGATGTCATTTTTGCCACATTGCAAACCCCGATGATCGTTATCCCTCCAACAGTTTCATCTACACAGTAGGAACACCTTAGCGACATGCCCTGCATGGTCTGTGAGGAGCAGATACTTCTCTCTTTGTTTTTTTCAGTCTTAACGCAGCCAAAAGCCTGCCGTGACTCGCCTCCCGTAAACGAGCTCAGCAAAGGGGGGGGGGATTGGGTTGGCGATGGGACGCATCCCAGACACCGGGGGGCGTAGTGGACAGGCCCCCACGGGTGTCATGTGCCCAGGTTTCAGGTGTGTGGGCCCTTACTGCTCACGGCCATGGAGCCGAGGCTCCTCCCCCTCTAAGGTGATCTCCCGTCTACCTATCGGAGTGACTCCGTCAACAGCCAGGAGCATGTTTAGATGTAATCCCTGTTAATCCCCATGTTTAAAACCCAGGATATCTACAGCTTAAGGCCAAGTGCACTGATGGGGAAAAAAAACTCAAATTATCACCCCTCTTTGTTAACCTTTCACAGATATCTCCACCCAGACTGCCGAATCTCCGACATCTGCCTAAGTAAAAAAAAAACAAAAAAGGAAGAAAAGACACAACAGAAAGCGTACTCGTCCCCTGCTTGGCAGCGGGGGCGGAGCCCCAGTGGAACCTGACGGGTGACCGCCGACATCAGAGCCCCAGAGCCGTTCCCCCACCTGCTTGCTGTCCTCCTCCTCCTGGGCTTTGCAGAACTCCTGCTCGATGGAGCAGTCCAGGTCGGTGAAGAGCCCCACCTCCTCACAGTTCTTCAGGAACCGTGTTGGCGTTGGCGTCTGGTCTGAAACGGCAGGGACACCCAGGTGCTTATCCAAGCATGAAGGCCCGCCGAGAGGTCCGTCGTGTTCCCTCAACCATTTCTCAGAAGTTCGGGGGCGGGAGGCTAATATGGCAGCATGTTGCATGCACTCCATACACTCCGAAGGCTTCAGTACCGACCGGCAACGTGTGCATTTTCATGTCTGTCTTCAACGGGCCACCTTATTAGCGAGATGGTTTCTGTCTACTAACCACATGCATGAGCCACATATCAAACGATTACTGGACAAATCAAGTTGGGTGTGCAGCTGACGGAACCAAAGACGAGTGTCACTAGAACCCTTCTACTGGGGCACGTGGCCCAGTATTAATGCGCTGTGCCCCAGTAAAGTCAGCCTCCCCTTCAGCTTTCAACAACAAAATCATTTATTTGGCAGTACATTAATTTAGATTGATAATATCGGGAAAAAGGTGGATGTTTTTCTACTCTGAAAGTGTAGCGACACAGTTTAACCCACAAACAGAAGCAAAGAGCACGTTGTATGTGTCTGTGCGCATCAGGTAATGTGGGTGGGGGGTTGGTGCTCCAGTAGAGCTTTATGTCTAAAGGCCCTGGAACTGAATGAAAAAGGGTAATTGACTGGTATGGTAGAGGACTGACTTAAACACAAGTTTATTACAATAAAAAATCTCACTCACGCACTGTGTGTATCTGTATGCTTACTCAGAGTTTGGTTACACTAGTTACGCCGCACGAGTCTGTTCTCTCACTATGCTGATAACACTAAATAACTATACAGTGACTCATGCTCAGGAATACTCACGCTCTCCCTATCAGCTTCTAATGAAGATAATAACACTATCATCCCACAGAAAACTTTGGGCTCTTCTTATAGTCTTACGATACGGTTCTTTATTTGTCTTCAACATTTTGGATAAGTGTTAACAATAAAAGCACAAGAGAGGTTGGCTCTGATTAGAGTTCGGTCACACCTGCATTAAATTTTCAGTCTCCCTGTTTACTCCAAATTGACTGCAATCCCGAACACGTTACACTTTTAGAGTAAGACAAAAGGTCATACTTCAATGCTCCATTTGATGGAACCTATTACGTTTTAGTCGTTTCATTACACGCTATAAACATAATATTGCTGAGTAGGAAATATTGCACAAATTCCTGGATTTTAGATTTAGCCACAAAACAAATGGAGGACAATGCAACTAAACTCCTGCATAACCGGCAATGAGCCATAAGCCCTCATCCAATACAGGGTGAATCTAGAGTTCAAGCTACGAAGAACAGGGCACAAGATAGGGGGAGGCCCTGGACAGGATGCTGGTTCATTACAGTGCACATGGGCAACAACACCCAGCCACATGGGCAACACCCAGCCACATGGGCAACAACACCCAGCCACATGAGCCACATGGCCTTTTACTGTGGGAGGAAACCGACGGGCCTGACGGAAACCCTCACAAACACAGGGAGCTCATGCCACGGGCAACTTTGCACACATTTGCGTAGAATCTGGGCAAAAACCGAAGCCACATCCCTATAGGTGTGAGGCTGAAGTACTATCTGCTAAGCCACCACTTAGGCCGGGCCATCCGGCAGGTATTTGCAGCAGAATTATTTTTAACCATGAAAAGCAGAATAACCCAGACCTTCACCCAAGTTCTGAACGAGGACTAGAACTGATGAGAAACTTTTTCTCTACTCACAGCCGCAGAGAAAACAAATGGTATCAGAGATGCAAAACCAATATGGGTTTCCTTTTAACCCTGATTAAGACTAAATAAAATGCTTTGTGATTATTTTAATTGTGTCCCCTACACTCGATACAAGCTCGAGGTAGGAGAACGGGCAGCCACAGAAGAGCAAAAGGTACGCATCTTTAAAAACTGACAACGTATATGAGATGAGTCACATTTTTATGAAGTCTTTGTCAATTGGGCTATCCAGAAAGCCCAAACGGGACTCCTCATTTGTGTTATGTGCAATAACTCGGTAGGACAGGTAAAGGGAAAAGCAGAACGCCGAAACCTTAGGAGCTGCAGATATCGTCACTGCCAGCAACGATGGTGAATGAACCACAGAAAGGGTCACTTCCTTACCTGACAGGATGTTATCATTCTTTATGGAGGGGAACTTCAGAGTCATCTCATGCTTGTGTCTGTGAATCATCAGATGGTCTTCTGTGGGGAACCTCTGTTGGATAGAGATGGCAGACTCTTTTGAATATTTGGCTTGATACAGCAACACAGGCCTGAGCAAGAACTGGGGACTGAGTCGCCCGTCCACATATCACCCTTGTCAAGAGGATGCAGCATGGCAAAGCTTTCCAGGGGAGACATTTACATATATTATCAGACACTCTTACACAAAGTACCTTTTTGAGAAGGCTGGGTCACCCAGGCTCTAGAACTGGAGTTAAGGGTCTTGCTTAAGGGCACAATGAAGGCATGACTCTGCCAACCATGGCATTTGAACCAGCGACCTTCTGTTCACGGGCACAGAGTCCTAACACGCACAGGCACGGAACAGCCCACAGTGACCACTTCAGAGTGTCACGGCATGGAACGTTACAGATGCCTCTATTAAAACTGCCAGTCCAGCCGACCCATCCCTACTCTTACAAATCATCCAGATTTCCAGGCGACAGGAAACAATTTAAAGATGATATTAAAAACAGAAAAACAGCTTCACACTCTGGCAGTTGCCTTAAACCCTTAAATCATGAGAGGAAGAGAGGACTCTAGGTATTAATTTTACACATATGGTCTCGATTTTCATTCTGATGTTCCATCCTCATTGAAAGATACGCCTGTGACTGGTAAACTTGGCTCGCATGTGAGGATCTGATTAAGTCTCCATTACGGATAACAGGAGAGCACCAGCAGCAGACATGCGTGATGTACGGCTGGAGGTTTTACAGCCCACGTGTCGGTCTGTCGTCCTTCATCAGGCCGCAGATGCCAGTCTGCAGCGCGGGGGGGGCCTCGTACCTGGGAGCAGCCGGGGGCGCTGCACACAAAGGGTCTGTCCTGCTCCGAGTTCATCGCTGTCGCCGTCTCTTCATAAAACTGGACGCCGGCAAAGGGAGAGAAACACATCAGGTTTCACTTCAAAGGAGGGAACGCAGGCGCAAGAGCGCCAACTGCAGGTCAGGTGCCCGCATTGTAGACAAACCTCAGTGTATGTGTACATACTCAGTGGCCACCTCATTAGGTACACCTGCCTAGGAGTATTCAGGACTCCCTTTTTCCTACAGAACCGCCTGAATTCTTCAGTGCATGGATTCAACAAGGTTCTGGAAGGTGCTTATAGAGTTTGGTCCATGGGCGTAAATTAAAGCCAGCCAATACAACCGCCTGGACCCCCTTAAATGGGTGGAGACTCCAACCCCCCAATGCTCAACCCAAAGGTATGCCCTTGGTTTGGTCCATGACATTTTTGTACCTCTGGTCATTCCTGTTGGTTTTAACGGGTCTGGCTTATTAACAAGGTGCTTCTGCCCTCGGAAATGCGGCTGCCTGCAACTTTTTAAATGCGCCGCACCATCTACTCTAAACTATAGACACTGTAGCGCATGAAAATCCTAGGATGTCGGCCATTTCTGAGGTGCTGGAAACACCATGTCTGGCACCAACTAAAAGACCAAGATCGGAAGCACTTCCATCACACGTGTTGCCCATTCTAAAGCTTTTCTGAACCTTTTAACCCTGCATGTTTTTTTTTGTTGTTTTGAGTCTTAGACAATTCTCTGTTGGTAGAGGCAGGCTGTTGGCACTAAGGAACATGTGTACCTAATAAAGTGGCCGCATCAGAGTGTATATTATACAAATAGATGTATATGATCACACACACATAGGGGCAGTGGGGAACAGTGTCGCCTGACCCCTGCGAGGTTTGCGGTTCATGTCCTGCCACTGCTGTGTATATGGAGTTTGCATCTTTTCCGCCTGTTGCATGAGCTTCCCCTCAGTACTGTTGCTTCTCACAGTACACAGATATGCAGTTAGGCTAATCAGTGTCTCTAAATTTCCCATAGCACTTGTGCCCTGCAGTGAATTGGCACTGCATCCAGGGTATTGCATTGCCCAGGTTGCGACACAGAAGAGGGACTGCAGTTATACTATATGCAGGGTCTTATCTTCCAGTTCTCAATAGAACTGGAGGTGCACATTTGCATGACCATCATTACCAAGGTAAGGACCTGCGGGACCAGGTCTCAGGGAGGAGAATGGCCGACTCAAAGGGTGGCCTGAAGGGATTTGCTCTCTCACACAAGTTCAGGAGCTATTAGAGCATGTTACAGCGTCTTGTTCTGTAAACCAGTTTGACAGCCAGCTCTGGTACTGGCGAAGCCTGAAATCGGGGATCTTATAAGAACCCCTCCCCCGTCCCACGAAGCCAGTCTCGCTTGAAACTAAAGGTAATGCATAGCTTTTTATTATTTAGAAATTCATAAGTTTCTATTTAAAAGACCCATGTCCACACCAACATGCCTCAGAATTACCACAGCGGCCGAGTATCCGGAACCTTCCGTTTCTCTCAGTATAACCTCTGGGCTTCACAGTGAAGCATGTGGTTTTTCACAGTGAAGCATGTGGTTTTTCCAGGTACTGCACTTCTGTGGGGCTGCACTGTGCATGATCTGCGCCAAACTCGGCAGGCTTCTCGGGCATGGAGGAGAGATGCAGCTCTGCGACGCTTGTGAGAAGACCGGGCCCCGGCTCATGCACAACACAGCCTCAAACGCACTTGTGAACAAACGCGCCCTTGTCTCGCGCCGAGTTCCACGGGGCACCAAACATTCCCCCGAGCAGACCTGTTGAGTCATTGGTTTACATAGTTAATTAAGGTATGGATGTTTCCATTAAAAAGAAGGAAATAAAAACATAAAAATAAATCCGCAATTAAAAAACAGGTCTACAGAGAGCTTTAGCTATTGCGTTTGTGTAAATCACTGATTGCTCGTTAGACAGATTTAGGCTCACTTAGGCAGATATTTTAAATATACTATTTTCATTCTCGAGGATACTTTTAACTTAACGCCCTGAAGAGACTTATAGCTGTCCACCATCGGTTACAGTCAGAATATAGAATACTTTTATAGATTTCATATGTATATTTTTATCACCCATCTCCAGTTTAGCTTTGCATGTAGTTGAATATAAACACAACAGAATAAATGGCTGCTATGAAGAATCCTTTTCATTACTATTTATCTGTGGAAAATGGTAGTTGAGGATCTCTAAACTGTAGGTCATTTCAGTACGGGGCCGGGCCTAGAGCTCTTCAGGTGGAAACTTAATAGACAGCTCAGAAACCGACTGCAACGACGGCAAATGAGTAAAACGCTCCGGGTGTAAAACGCTGCGGGTGTAAAACGCTGCGGGTGTAAAACGCTGCGGGTGTAAAACGCTCCGGTGAAGGTATAGCCTATGCAAAGCTTCAAGCGTACAATAACTTAACGCAAAGTGAGCCTCTGCTGTTGACGGCATTGTAACGTCAAGGCAACCATCTGGCTAAAAATAGGAGCCGGAATGTAGCCTCCTTCATGATCCTCCGCACAGGTCATCTCGGCCTCCCGCCACGGCGATAGTCGCGTTCCCCACGCAGCCCCTACCGCCGCCAGGATCAAGCCAGCGCCTTGTGATCGTGGCTCTCGCGGGTGAGCAAGACTTCTATTAACAGTGCTGACGATCTCGGCTGGGGGGGAGGGAGGGCCGAGCCCCAACGGCACAAGGTTAACCCACAAAACCTGCATCGAGCAATCACGCCCCAAGTCACCGTTACTAAATTAGACAGCGATGAGGCCCGAGGCCCCTTTCTCTCGCATTTGGCCATCTCATCAGCTCGAAGGAGAAAGATACTTCGCTAACTCGGTGCAGAGAATGGTCCAGATGGCACAAGCTGCCTGTGGACTGAGAGGGGTCAGCTTACAAATGGCCCAGTTTTATACTTTGACCTTATTTGTTTTTATGTTTTCAAAAGAGTTGAGTAATACTTTTCACCATCACTCTGGGAAAACAAATACCTGAACCTCACTCAAGACAGCTACCATTCTGAGTTGCTGATGAATAAAAACAGACATAAATTCCTCTCAGGCCATTACTTCCTCCGCGAGTGACCACAGGGGCTGCATTCATTTGCATTACACTTTACAATGCGCAGTTCATTCCTCCCATGATAATAGTGAAATACAATTTTTTTTAAATATTAAAACTGGTCTTCTGGCTGATACAGGGGAAGGGCAGCAAAGCAGTTCCAGTGGTACAGGGCTGCCTGGATTTGAAGGACTTGCTTGTCAGTGTCACTCTCCTACACAGTTTGATACGCTGTCACAAACTGTTAGAACTTTCCAGCAGAAAGACCACAATCATCTCTTACAGCTTGGCACCTCCTGAGCACTGAACAGAGACGGTCTCTCGCTCTGACTGGTCCTCTCATACCCACATTACAGTCACCCAGATCCCTCTCAAACGCTGAAATCAAACTTTAACATGGGAATCTGACCGCTGCCAAGACTGAAAAGCGATCGGCTCGGAGCTGGGCGGCCAAAGGCATTACGTACAGACAAACATACGCACACGCAACAGCAGGAACACGTTAGGTTATAATATCGTCGCTAAATTGATTGGTCATAGACATGCTATCTGCATAACCTTGCTGGAATCAGAGCAGTCCTGTCCGGGTCAATATCAGGCCATGGAATAGAAGGGTTGCAGAATATAGGATTAAGAGAGTAACCAAATACAAAAGGATCATATCGTAAAAACAAAACGTCAAAAATAACTCCCCCTCCTTTCCGCTAGAGAAGATTTGAAGAATAAAAACAAAACCATGCGGAGGGACTTTATTAGGCAGTAATTAAAATTCACTGCGTTGGTCTGTAGCTGAGCCACGCTCTGCAATAAGAGCCAATTAACCTTGACTTTGTCAAGTGTAGCTTCATAACACACGTTTCACATGCCCCCCCACCCCCCAAGCAAGAGACCAATCGATTGCTCATTCGAAGCGGCCACGCGGACTCCCTGCCCCACATGCGAGGGCCCTCGGCTTAACCACTGACGTCTCAACTGGCCAAGGAAATTTTTTCAATGACACGCCAGAAGCGGCTCGTGATGCAAACTCGCTACATGATTGC